TAATGTTGGAAGAGATTCCCTCCAACCCAATTAGGAATTACTTGTCAATCGCTGGCTCCGATTTCAGCCTGCTTTTTTTTTTAGATATCCTTCCAAAGCCAATGTCCATCCAAGAACAAACTAAATGGCAGCTGTTGTTTTTTGTGAGATTAGTGGTTGTCCACTCATCTACCTTGGGTTTCGAACTTGGGACTTTTCATTTCAGCAACCAAGAGTTTAACTGACGCGACCACGCCAACCTCCCATGACAAAATGATATTTATAAATGGTTTCCATAGAAAGATGATGTTTAGAGATGGCACGAAGATATTATTCTTAGACGGCTAATATTCTTAAGACGGAAAGTAATTAAAGAAGTTGCTTTGTATTTCACTACATAAACAGTGAATCTATATAGATAACGTGTCTATGGTTTAATAAAACTAAAACATTATTTATTTTGATGTTACCCTTATATATTTATCCTACCCACCCCCACCCTTAAACACGCACACCGTGTGGAGACGATGACAAGAGCATGTAAACACAAAGCTGAATAACTCACCCAATCAGGATGGGCAAGACGATGCTAAGGTAGTGCACTAAGAAAGACTTATGTTTTTTTATCCTGCCAGACAGCCCTATCATTCTGGGAGTACTTTTAGCTTGAGAGAAAATAAAAATGTCATATGATGTTAAAGCCCTAGAACATAGGCTTTGTGCTATTAGTTATTTAAAGCTACTTGTTATGAGTCTAGGACATTACCCCCTGTAAAATATCGCCCCTGACATCCCTACCCGGAGTCATTACCCCCACCCCACCACCTCCATCCTGAAGAACCCTGACTCTAACCCTAACTTAACAACCAAATCTAGCAAATCATAACTCCAACATCAATCCTAGCACCATCTGTCAATCTCACCCGAACCCTAGCACTAGCCGTAACCCTATCCAGTGTTTCTTCCAGACTTTTTTCTCCGGGGAGGGGGCACTTGAAATTTTCGGGGGGGGGGGGGGGGGGGGCGGTAAACTTTTTTCGGGGGTGCGGACACTGTTAAAAGTATATATTTTCTATATAAGTTATATAAATTTCATTTCGTTCGGGGGGGGGGGGGTAAAATTAATTCGAAGAGATGCCTGGAAGAAACTCTGACCTTATCCCTAACTGGGTGGGGTTTAATGGACAGGGAGTACGGGTAATTGTTCAAGGGGGGGGGGGGGTAATATCGAGGGAGAAATTCCGGGGGGGGGGTAATTGACGGGGTGATGGTGTAATGTCCTGCTCTCATTGGTTAATATGAGCACACAATATTTTGAAACTTTAAAAAATCTAACACATGTATTAAGTAAAACAAAGGAAAACTAAAGATCCCACTTTCGACCTAACGGTTTATCGGGCAGATGAAATACAGTCAGCGTGTTTCTTAACAACGCCTATGAAAGAATAGTGCGGTAAAGCCACTTTTATTTTTCATGACGTGAGTTGGGTACCTTTTGGAGCTGGGTGGACTCAAGGACGTCGTACAGACGCGAGATCCGAACTCAAGACTTTCGGGTTAGTAGTCGTAGCCTCTGGCGCTCGGCAACGCTGTTGTTGCGTCCGGGTTTGGTTCACCTCAGGACACGATTCGTGGTTAACTTCAATACTTTTATTTGGTCTCAATTCTTCACATAACAGAGTAGCCCTCGCCCTAACCGCTACCAACTAACCCCTTACAACCATTCACTCCAGCTTTATACTGCATAAACACACCGGGGTTAACAATACTCTAGGGTAAACTCAACTCGCACACTTACTCTCCCCTAATTCTAACCTATTTCTATCTAACCAACAACTGACCCGTAACAGCTGTGTTACATTTTGATCTAGCCAGTGGCGTAGCGAGGTAGGGTGTCATCCGGTGCGGCACCAGAGGCGTAGCGACCCTTCCCGGGGACTAACTTTCAAATTTTCAATTTGAACCCAAACTTTTGATTTGCACCCCCACCCCCTCAAACTTTCGATTTGCACCCCCGTCAAGTTTTTCTCTATATATTTTGCTATTTTTTGCCTTGGTGTCACCCCCCTAAATGGTGTCACCCGGTGCTATATGCAACCCCCGCCCCCCCCCCTTTAGCTAAGCCTTTAGATCTAGCAAACCACTGTGCCTGTTTCAGTGACATATGAATGGATAGCTGGTCAGCACTCTGCTCAGCCGCCTTTACTTTCCCTAGCGTGAGTCAGACGCTCTTCAGAACTCGGTGGTCATTCTGCTAACAAGCGATTTGAACTCAAGACTTTCGTGTTACGTTACCTTCTAATGTAGGACGATCCACAAGATCAGACTGAATCTTGGCTTCAGGACTTGAGAAACGACCGTCAGCCTCAGGTCCAGTGTACCGGAAACAACGTTTTAAGCTCCCCATACTTCTTGGTTTGTAAGCTAGAATAAACGCAAAGATTACTGTCGTATTATTCTATTCAGATCTTGACAAAAATATGTCAAAACCATGTACACACGTGCTGTTAAAGTTGTAATGGCGGAAGGAGCCGTCTCAAATGATGCGTACTACGTCACGTTCTTAAAACCAGAAAACATTGTGGTTTGAGATTTTTATTTCCTTTAATATTTGTAATGACGTCATCAAATTACGCTGTGACTGAGCTCAATACAATATGCTAGACTTAAGACTTACGCAAACAAGTCGTAGAATCTAGATCTAGATAATTCTATCTAGATCTAGATAATTTCAGACCTTCATTATTTTATATAAATCTTTGTTTAGCTATGTAATTGGCTAATTTAAGATAAAATTTAGTTTGAAAGTTACTACTACTAGACTTAGAAATAGATCTAGATTTATGCGCGTCACGTGTTAAATAGCTAAGTTGTTAGTGTAATCGGCTTTCATGCAGGTGGCACGGGTTCTGAACATGTCAATGTTATTTTTTTTCCAATTTTTTTTATTTTTGAGATGTGAATGATAAACTTGCCTATTTGAACTTGGCGGGATACAGGGAAGGTGAAGTAGAATTAATCTGTTTCTTTGTCTTAAGCATATGAAGGGATAGTGTGGTCACAGACATGCTCGGCTGGAATCGTTTTTTTTAAACGATAAAAACAAGTTGTCTGAAACTTGGTGGGACACTGGGCAGGTGAAGTAGAGTTGAGTAGGTCACCTGTGACGTCAGTATATGAAGGGATAGTCCGAAATCGGTGTTTTTTAAAGATTAAAAAAACATATTTTTGCATGTGGGGTCTGGTTTTTGTGACGATAAGTGACAGACGTGATATTTTTTTATGGATGACCCCCCCCCCCCCCCGAAACCCACAGTTATCCAAGGGATGACCGGGTAAGTCTAGTCTATATATATATATCTAAAGCAAAGTTGTCTGGTGCCCGACAGGACACTTCCCGCAGGCACTACAAATTTGGCATGAGTCTGCCTTGGGGCGACAGAAAGCGAGACCCGGTGCCGGTTACCCAACATGTCCAAGTAGAGGGGGTCAAAACTAACCTCGACTGACCGGCGCCTTATATGGGCTATATTGCGAAAAAAAACTTTTGCCCGACGACCCCCCTTGAAATTTTGTGAGGTGGTAGGAGAACGCCTTGGGGTGTCACAAAAAGCTCGCCATGTCCGGGAAAAATCTGGAAATGGGTCAAAACTGACCAGTCGTATTTCCCTATATAATCTTTGTATTTTATGGGAAAAACAGAAGGTAATTTCAACACGGATTTTAAGGCATTCACCCTAGCATTAGTTTAAATTTAACCACTCCACACCTCAGCCATCGCTAAATAATTAAGTATTCAAATTCTCAAATGTTTTTGAAAACCTAAGCGAAGCTAGGCAGTATGCCTAGTATAATTATATCAAAGCGTAAATAAATTAACACGTATTTTTAAACAAATGATTAAATCCAATGGACGCGAGCGAGTTGACGAGAATCATTCCATAATGTTGTTGACATGGAATAAAACGGTGTTTTTTTTTTAGATTTAGACCGTAAAAATAATGAAAAAATAAAAACTTAAGCCTAAAATTAATTTAGAAATTTTATATTTTTAGAATAAATGCTATAAAAGTTGCACATCCAGAGACCTTGAATATAATTTGATGAGTTTAAGGCTACATTTATATTTATTTTCATCAAGCCTAAGTTATAACTGGATGTTTCACTTTGGTAAGACATGTAGATTGGCTGCACATGAGCCCCGTGTTCGATAATTATTTGTTTACAAAACTTTGCAGATCAAGTTTTTAAATAACAATGCAAATTTAAACCCCAAGTTTTTCTTTTTTTAGCTTACAATAATTTGTACATTACGTTTTATGGCAGCCGATCGAATTGCAGGATGCTATTGTTTATGTCGCCATTACACGTGAAAACCAAATTGTTTTTGCTTTTTTTTTAAATTTTTATTTAGTTACCGAAAGTATTAAAAACATCAAATACATCCAATCTTCAGTAAAGTCCGAAAAAAACCAGACAGGCAGGATTTTATAACCATATTAATTGTAACTACGCCGTGCATGATTTTTTAATTAATTAATGGGCCTCTCAAATACCTTTGAGACTTTTCTCACTCGCGTCCATTGACTTTAAAAGTGTTTTTGAATTGTGGACAAACTTAAAATAGTTTAGAAGCAATATTTTATACAAAGTAGTTTTCAAAGTTAGGTACAAAACATTATTTTGAAGTTTTGCAAGGGGCACAATCGGCTATTGTTTCTCGGCTAAAAATAATCCACAAAGTTGTTGCTCTTGTTTAAGTACAATTCGTATTGAATTCTTATAACTTAACAAGACAAACCAGCTTCCCATTGCAAACGGTTTGTTCTGCCACTGCGAATCATTAGCTTTATATAAATACTTCACAGTACACTTAGCTAAATAAATGAAAATACAAATTGATATTTCCACATGCAACTATAGTAGTATAGCTGCACTAAAAAATAGCACAATGTATGTACAATAGACAATACTACACAAACAGCAATGTTACTTAAATAAAATCACAAAAATTGTAACTTGTAAGCAATGTTTAATAAAATTAATTTACTGCACTATTGAACATATAGGCTTATAACAATTTTTTTTTGAAACGGAACGTTTGATTTCTCATTGACCGAGTACTCATCACAAAGAGAGGTTCGCATAGATCATCCAATACACAGCTAGATTCAAGGCTAGGAACGGCTCTCTACATCCTTGTATCATGGAGGGAGATCAAGTGTGATTCATGAAAGATAGGGCCGTCTACTTCAAGTTTCTGAAGACTAGAGTCATTTTGGCTTGCTCCTAACATATCTGAAATACACACGCATATAAATTTAAATATATAAATATTAATATATAAAATATTATATATATATATATATATATATATATATATATATATATATATATATATATATATATATATATATCGGTCTGTGGGTGGAAGCATACATCTTTATAAAACACTTAACACCGTATTAGAGTAGACCTTAAAAGTAGTCTAAACAACCAGAGGTTTAAACACAACTCATTTTTATGCCAGGGGCAAAGAATCTAATTTGGCTCTATTATTTCAATAATGACTTAAAACATAGCATTTAATAATGTTCTTGCTTTGAATAAATAGACACTATTGTCGTGGGCGTTGACAACCCATTCTCGATAAAGGGACGTAACAATAACGATTGTTGTAATCTAACTAATTAAAACCTAGCGCTTCTTCAATAGTGAAGGAAATTTGGTACTAGATCTAGTTGCATTGCAAGGCTTACATAGAAATAACATCAGTTCTGTAGACAAAACTCACCAGCTTTAGTATCATCTTCGTATATAGAACTCACCAGTTTGTAATGTAAACATCGTGAGTAGAACTCACCAGTTTCTAATGCAAACATCGTGATTAGATCTCACCAGTTTCTAATGTAAACATCGTGATTAGAACTCACCAGTTTCAAATGTAAACATCGTAATTAGAACTCACCAGTTTCTAGTGTAAACATCGTGGGTAGAACTCACCAGTTTCTAAGATAAACATCGTGAGTAGAACTCACCAGTTTCTAGTGTAAATATCGTGAGAAGAACTCAACTGCTTCTTATGTAAACATCGTAACTAGAACACCAGTTTCTAATGTAAACATCGTGGGTAGAACTCAATAGTTTCTAATGTAAAAATCGTGAGTAGAACTTATCAGTTTCTAATGTAAACATCGTGGGTAGAAATCACCAGTTTCTAATGTAAATATCGTGAGTAGAACTCACCAGTTTCTAATGTAAACATCGTGAGTAGAATTCACCAGTTTCTTATGTAAACATCGTAACTAGAACACCAGTTTCTAATGTAAACATCGTGGGTAGAACTCAATAGTTTCTAATGTAAATATCGTGAGTAGAACTTATCAGTTTCTAATGTAAACATCGTGGGTAGAAATCACCAGTTTCTAATGTAAATATCGTGATTAGAACTCACCAGTTTCTAATGTAAACATATTGGGTAGAACTCACCAGTTTCTTATGCAAACATCGTAACTAGAACACAAGTTTCTAATGTAAACATCGTAATTAGAACTCACCAGTTTCTAATGTAAACATCGTGGGTAGAACTCACCAGTTTCTAATGTAAACATCGTGGGTAGAACTCACCAGTTTCTAATGTAAACATCGTGGGTAGAAATCACCAGTTTCTAATGTAAATATCGTAACTAGAACACCAGTTTCTAATGTAAACATCGTGGGTAGAACTCAATAGTTTCTAATGTAAATATCGTGAGTAGAACTTATCAGTTTCTAATGTAAACATCGTGGGTAGAAATCACCAGTTTCTAATGTAAATATCGTAAGTAGAATTCACCAGTTTCTTATGTAAACATCGTGATTAGAACTCACCAGTTTCTAATGTAAACATCGTGGGTAGAACTCACCAGTTTCTTATGTAAACATCGTAACTAGAACACCAGTTTCTAATGTAAACATCGTAATTAGAACTCACCAGTTTCTAATGCAAACATCGTGATTAGAACTCACCAGTTTCTAATGTAAACATCGTGGGTAGAACTCACCAGTTTTGTGATATCCAAGCAGCATGTCATCACCGTTTCCAGGTGCCTTGTCCATGACCTTGTTCAGAATTTTCTGTAGGATACATGTCTTCAGTTTGCCGTCCCGTGCAAGCTGCCTGATTTTCTTCATGAGGTCATCGCAAGACACGCCCGTGTTGCTGCTTAGGGCGTGCTGTTTCATGTCCTCCAGTTCCTTCTGTTCAAACAATAACAATAATCAGAGCATAAAATAATATCATGCACATTTACTTGATTCATGTAAAGTACACAACATAAAAGATATCTTCGACAAAGACAATTTACTCAAGTTATGTAAAATAAAATATTATTTATTAACACAGAATGTATTATAATTTGTTAGTACTAAAACAATTACTAAATATATTACATTTTTGCGTCAATTATATATACATATAAAAATATGTGTATATAAGGATAAATATATGTATGTAGGTATATATATATATATATATATATATATATATATATATATATATATATATATATATATATATATATATAATTGACTCAAAGTTAAAATTACATACTTTCTACAGCACTAGTAATAAGAAGCAAAAAATGCACCATACATGCTGTTCCTCAATTGTAAAAAAAAAATATCCATTCTCAATCAAACTTTACCTCAGTCAATAAACTCACCTGAAAAATGTATAGATCACTCAACTCGTCAACCGCGATTGCCAATACCCTTTTTAAATCCTAAATCAAGAGATGTAATACAAGTGGCAGTAACTTTCAAATATAGGTGCCAGTATTTAATGAAGTACTATGAGATCTGGTACATGGTATTTTGTTTTTAAACTTAAAACAATAAGTGTTAATTGGTACCCGTCTTGTATTCTAAAATGCAAAAAATGCACTATACATTTTAATGTGTTGTTCCACAATTGTAAAAAAAATATCACTTCTCAATCATACTATACCTCATTCAATAAACTCATCTGAATAATGTATAGATCACTCACCTCGTCAACCGCGTTCGCCATTTTACTTTTTAAATCCTAATTCAAGAGAGGTAATACAAGTGGCAGTAACTTTCAAATATAGGTGCCAGTATTTAATGAAGTAATATGAGATCTGGTACATGGTATTTTGTTTTTAAACTTAAAACAATAAGTGTTAATTGGTACCCGTCTTGTATTCTAAAATGCAAAAAATGCACTATACATTTTAATGTGTTGTTCCACAATTGTAAAAAAAATATCACTTCTCAATCATACTATACCTCAGTCAATAAACTCACCTGAATAAAGTTCAGATCAATCAACGCGTCAAACCCGTTCGCCATTTTCTTTTTCAAATCCTAATTCAAGAGAGGTAATACAAGTGGCAGTAACTTTCAAATATAGGTGCCAGTATTTAATGAAGTACTATGAGATCTGGTACATGGTATTTTGTTTTAAAACTTAAAACAATAAGTGTTAATTGGTACCCGTCTTGTATTCTAAAATGCAAAAAATGCACTATGCATTTTAATGTGTTGTTCCTCAATTGTAAAAAAAATATCCCTTCTCAATCATGCTATACCTAAGTCAATAAACTCACCTGAATAATGTTCAGATCACTTAACTCGTCAGCCGAGCACACATTTTTCATTTTCACATCCTAAATCAAGAGAGGTAATACAAGTGGCAGTAACTTTCAAATATAGGTGCCAGTATTTAATGAAGTACTATAACATCTGGTACATGGTATTTTCTTTTTAAACTTAAAACAATAAGTGTTAATTGGTACCGGTCTTGTATTCTAAAATATAAGTTTAGTAGATTGGGTAAGTTAGTATAAGTTTAAGTAGGTTTGTAAACCTTTTAGTTTTAACGTTACGTAGGTTTGTATATGTTTTTAAGGTTCATATAAGGCTGAAATTATTTAAGTTCCCAGAAAACTGCGCAACAGAAAGCTGCAAGTAGAAAAATGCCTAAATACAAACTAATTATGCTAATACACATTCATTTTGCCTTATTTTGTTGAAAGATGTTTAATTATGCTACAATGTAGATGTAGTCACCGTTTGTTACTGCCTACAAATACTCGATTTAAGAAAAAAAATTTGCGCGGTTTTCCGTTGCACATCTTTCCGATGACCTAAATTCGCTATCCCAACTCACAGACATCTGAATGCACATCAATAACATGACCAGGCAGGCGATGTTTATGCTGGGGGAAAAGTATATATTTATAGACAACATGCTGGGATAAAAGTATAAATTTATAGACAACATGCTGGGATAAAAGTATATATTTAGCGACAACATGCTGGGGGAAAAGTATATATTTATAGACAACATGCTGGGATAAAAGTATATATTTAGCGACAAAATGCTGGGGGAAAAGTATATATTTATAGACAACATGATGGGATAAAAGTATATATTTATAGACAACATGATGGGATAAAAGTATATATTTATAGACAACATGATGGGATAAAAGTATAAATTTATAGACAACATGCTGGGATAAAAGTATATATTTATAGAAAACATGATGGGATAAAAGTATATATTTATAGACAACATGCTGGGATAAAAGTATATATTTATAGAAAACATGATGGGATAAAAGTATATATTTATAGACAACATGCTGGGATAAAAGTATATATTTATAGAAAACATGATGGGATAAAAGTATATATTTATAGACAACATGATGGGATAAAAGTATATATTTATAGACAACATGATGGGGGAAAAGTATATATTTATAGACAACATGCTGGGATAAAAGTATATATTTATAGACAACATGATGGGGGAAAAGTATATATTTAGCGACAACATGCTGGGGGAAAAGTATAAATTTATAGACAACATGCTGGGATAAAAGTATATATTTAGCGACAACATGCTGGGGGAAAAGTATATATTTATAGAAAACATGCTGGGATAAAAGTATATATTTATAGACAACATGCTGAGGGAAAAGATGATATTTATTTATAACATTCTTACAAAAAGATGATAATTCTTTTATACAACATGGTGCCAAAAAAGATTAAATTTATAGACAGCATGTTGGCAAATAGATTATATTTATAGAGAACATGGTGGCAAAAAAAAGACTATATTTATAGACAACATGCTGAAAATAGACAAAGATAATTTAACAGAAACCGTATTAGCAAACATACAGTGTGATTTTTACAGAAAAATTGCTGGGAATTAAAGAAATGCGATATTTGTATAAATCGTTATATCAAATAGACAAAGGTCTATAGACATCATTTTTCCTAATGGAGACAGATTATATTTGTAGACAGCTAGTATAAGATGATATTTATTGAGAAAAAGCTGATTAGTGAAAATTATATTTATAGGTGGTTTCCAGATGAATTTGATATTTTAAAACGTCTTCCAGAGAGATGATAATTATATTTGGCTTCCTTGAAAGATTATATTCACAGACGACTTCCAGAAGATGATCTTAATAAATGGCAGACTGTCTAAGAATCTGCTTTGTATTTTGCTACATAATACTTAATCCATGCAGATCACGTGTCTATAGTTTCGTTCAACTAAAAATGTATTTATTTTGGTGTTTCCCTTATATATATATATATATATATATATATATATATATATATATATATATATATATATATATATATATATATATATATATATCCTACACACCACCCTCCCTTAAACACGCACACCGTGTGTAGATGATGACAAGAATATGTAAACACAAAGCTGAATAACTCACCTAAAGAGGGTGGGAAAGACGATGTTATGGAAGTGCTCTATGAACACGGCGATCTTCTCGGCCTTCTGCTTCAAGATTCCACACAAACCCATCCTTCTGGGAGTCTCTAGAGCCAAAGGCTCTCCCTCATCGAAGCAGTTGTCCTTACTCCAACGGCAAATTTCAGCTAGAGAAATAACTATGAGGTAACAGCTATAGAACATCGGTTACGGGATGTTATTTTTTATAGCTGTTTATTAATATGTGCACATATGTTTGAAATTTTTTTAAATTAAATTTAAAAAAAAAAACAAGTTTCAAAATTGAAAGTCATTCATCGAAAAATTAAAGTTTTCCTTTTGTACCTAACAGTTCATAGTGCGGATAAAGTAGTGTATTTAAACAACGGCTTATGAATGGATACGAAGCAAAATGTCCATTCACGTTTTAAATTACCTTACATGACGTGAGTCAGGTACCTATTAAAGCTGAGTAGGCTCAGGGACGTCCTACAGACGTGAGTCCGAGATCCGAACTCAAGTCTTTCGGGACGCCCGTCAACGCTGTGTTACAAGTGGATCTGGCAAACCACTATGCTTGGGAGAATGTTGTCAAGTAGATCTAGTAAATCTAGTGTGTACTAACTCTCGCACAACCATGGGTTGAATAGTTTACAGAATCTATAGCATGATAGCATGACTTGTAAGTTAAGTACCGTTGTGAAGTTGTTTCAGTCGCCTCGAGATAAGAAGGGATTTTGTGGTCAGAACTATGCCCAGTCGCATTTTCTTACTTTCCCTAACGTCAATTAGGTACCCATCAGAGCTGGGTGGACTCAGGGAAGTTCTATGGACAAACAAGACTTTCAGGTTAGCAATCTAACTAACCCATGTACAATAATGCCGAAGTTTCATAAACAGTGTTCACTATTGATATTAAGTGTTAAATTAGGCCTACCTCTTGATGACTCACAAATCACGTGATCAGATTGAGGCTTAATCATTGGACTTGGCATAGAGGCGGGGTTACAACCATTGTCTGGCTTGACTTGAACACTTTTGTTATGACCGTAAGGCTCTGGTCTAGGGTACCCGAGGCGACGTTTCAAAAAGTACATCATACTTATATTGTGTTTGTAAACTAAAATAGCACAACTTAATTTAGTCTAGTCTTTCGCTAAGCAGATCTCTTGACAGAAACATCAACACAATGTACACACGCTGTTGGTAGAAATAGTATAATGGCGGAGGGCCTCAAATGTATACGTTTTCAAAATATGTGTAGTGCGTCACATTTAAAAAGAAGAAAAAAATGTGGTTCGAGATTTTTATTTCCGTATATATTTGCAATGACGTCATACAATTAGATGTGGCAGAATATGCTGTTATTATCATTGCTTGAATAAATAACATCTTTTGTTAGATCACATAATGAAATGTATTTGGTTGAGTGAGATTTTTGTATTGTGGATGAAATTTCAAATAGTTTTGAAGATGTTCTAATACAAAATGTTTATTTTTAAGCAATTAAAATTAAATTAGTGTGATCCATGTGCAGTTAAATCTGTGTTGTTAATTAGCCTTAATACTGTTTACTGTTTGACCGAGCTAACTAAGCCACGCATTTCTGTACTCTCCGTTGGGAATTAACAGGCGAGTGTTTTATTTAACGAACTGGATTTGGATTCGGGTTTGGGTTAGGGTTATGACAAGGGGAAGGGAAGGTTAGAGAGGGTTAGGGTTAGGGTTAGGTTAGGTTAGGTTAGGTTAGGTTAGGTTAGGTTAGGTTAGGTTAGGTTAGGTTAGGTTAGGTTTAGGGTTAGGGTTAGGTTAGGTTAGGTTAGGTTAGGTTAGGTTAGGTTTAGGGTTAGGGTTAGGGTTAGGGTTAGGTTAGGTTAGGTTAGGTTAGGTTAGGTTAGGTTAGGTTAGGTTAGGTTTAGGGTTAGGGTTAGGGTTAGGTTAGGTTAGGTTAGGTTAGGTTAGGTTAGGTTAGGTTAGGTTAGGTTTAGGGTTAGGGTTAGGTTAGGTTAGGTTAGGTTAGGTTAGGTTAGGTTAGGTTAGGTTAGGTTAGGTTAGGTTTAGGGTTAGGGTTAGGGTTAGGTTAGGTTAGGTTAGGTTTAGGGTTAGGGTTAGGGTTAGGGTTAGGTTAGGTTAGGTTAGGTTAGTTTAGGTTAGGTTAGGTTAGGTTAGGTTAGGTTAGGTTAGGTTAGGTTAGGTTAGGTTAGGTTAGGTTAGGTTAGTTTAGGTTAGGGTTAGGGTTAGGGTTAGTGTTAGTGTTAGTGTTAATGTTAGGGTTAGGTTAGGGTTAGGGTTAGGTTAGGGTTAGGGTTAGGGTTAGGTTAGGTTAGGTTAGGTTAGGGTTAGCGTTAGAGTTAGGGTTAGTGTTAGTGTTAGTGTTAGTGTTAGTGTTAGTGTTAGGGTTAGGTTAGGTTAGGGTTAGGGTTAGGTTAGGGTTAGGGTTAGGGTTAGGGTTAGGGTTAGGGTTAGGTTAGGTTAGGTTAGGTTAGGTTAGGGTTAGGGTTAGGGTTAGTGTTAGTGTTAGTGTTAGTGTTAGTGTTAGTGTTAGTGTTAGTGTTAGTGTTAGTGTTAGGGTTAGGGTTAGGGTTAGGGTTAGGGTTAGGTTAGGTTAGGTTAGGGTTAGGGTTAGGGTTAGGGTTAGGGTTAGGGTTAGGGTTAGGGTTAGGGTTAGGGTTGGGGTTAGGGTTAGGGTTAGGGTTAGGGTTAGTGTTAGGGTTAGTGTTAGGGTTAGGGTTAGGGTTAGGGTTAGTTTTAGGGTTAGGGTTAGGGTTAGGGTTAGGGTTAGGATTTGTTTTCTGTGGTTTAGGCATTATAAAAAGATGATAAATGAAATAGCTAAACAGAATAGACTTTTTTAATTGTTTCGTAAGTTATAATGTGTATCTCTGATTTTCTTGAAAAAAAACGTGTCCCGTCCAAATTTTTCATCTTCTCGTCCACAGCCTCGCTTTGGGCGACAGTCAGCCAGTTTTTCCAGTCTCCGACTTGCCCTGGAAAAATAAATCTTACTTCAGTTAATTGTGAACCTTTAAGGGCTGTAAACATTTTCAAGAAATTAGTCATGAGACGGTCGGTTGAAAGGAATTTAAAGCTTCGGGTCAATTGAGTAGAGCTTAAGGCTGTTGGACAGTTGAGGAGAGCTTTAAGCTTCGTGTCAGTTGAGTAGAGCTTAAGGCTGTTGGTCAGTTGAGCAGAGCTCAAAGCTGCGGGTCAGTAAAGGAGAGCTTAAAGGTACTGGTCAAGGGAGCAGAGCTTAAAGTTATAGAAATAGGTGAAATCTACTTTACATGTTCCATGGGCTGTCGTGTTAGAAAAAGAAATTTTACTTTTCTTGACTATAAATGTAGAGATGTTAATGAAATTTTTAAAGAACTAATTAATTGGGTTTGGATTCTGACCTTTGCGAAGGAGAGATCGGGAGAAAGTGCCATTATTGGTGTACGTTTCTTTCATAGCATCGAATTTTGTGGCCTTGACAATGTCCTGCGTCAGCTGGTTATCAAGGTCAAGGTCGAGAAATTCGGACAACTTTTTCATCACTTTGGTCAGATCCTGTACAACACTCAAGTTCAACAAATATAGGCCAGGTCTGAACCATGTTGACAGTGGCGTAGCTAGGGGAGGGCGGGTGGGGGAGGGCGGGCCGATCTTTAGGGGGCGCCAAATGGGTTAGAACAACTACAATTTAATCAGCATTAAAGAATGATAGAAAGTCGAAATTAAGGAAATAGACTATTGTTTTGCTTTTATTGATTATTTAACTGTATTTTCCATAAATTTGTGACGTCTTAATGAACGATTGTCAATGAAGTTATAGATAAAATGGGGATGTGGGGATTTTCGCCATGTGAAGAACTATATATAACTAGGATCTAATGTGATAGTTTCCCCCAAGCTACCGAATGTGTCGCTACGCCTCTATCAGTGGAAGTAAACTGTAACCAAGCTCACAAAGGCTACCTCTTTCATGTCCTCGTAAGACACCAGTAGCACTTGTAGGTCTGGGTTTGATTTGATCATCTGATCCCACTCTATGTAATAGTCGTAGTAGGAATCGTAGTCGACTGTGGGTTTAAAGGGATCGCACTAGTGATCTCGGAGATTTTAAAATTGTGGTATTTAAAATGTTATGTTTTTAAGAGGTTATACAATACTTAATACGCGAGTAGACAGACTCTTTATATATATATATATATATATATATATATATATATATATATATATATATATATATATATATATATATTCTTGTATTCATATAGTTAAAACCGAAATGCAGGCAGAGTTTCTTCCAAGCATCTCTTCGAACGATATGGATTTTAAATAGTAAACATACACATTTACTAGTGTCCGCCCCCCCCTCCGAAAGAAAAGTCTGGAAGAAACACTGAATACAGGCCTACTTAAAAAGCTATTATTTAATATATAAATAATATAGTCTATGTAAATATATATATATATATATATATATATATATATATATATGTATACATATTTATATATATATATATAAATTATATATACATTTAACATATATATATATATATATATATATATATATATATATATATATATATATATATATATATATATATATATATTTATATATATAAATTGTTATTATTATTATTCAAAGGAAGAAAAAGAAAAATGTACACACAATTCTTCTTACTAGTTAAATTAATACAAACTATTTGTAAGAAACCTTCTTAAACAGCAACTTGTATAGTTTATATAATTGCTTATAACCTACTCTTAGTGTATCTACTAGAGTAAAACAAATGCTATCCATTCTAACACATTAAATCAATGCTGTATCGAGTCCCAATAGGGCACAAACCACAATTAAACAAAGCCGTTCCATGAACAAAATGAACTATCGATCAGATTAAAACAATGCGGTTCAATATCGGTTAAATAACTGTTCTATTTAGTCTCGTCATACACTTCGAAGTTTATTCTAAAGTGTGTCACGCTTCACTGGACGATCACTACAATACATACACGCTTGACTTGGGGCCCTTGCATAGCCGTAAAATAATGTGCACACGCCTTAAGAAATCCAGAGAGAAGTGCGCACATGACAATGGCGTCGCTATGTCGGTGTTGTGACCTACTTAGGTCTTATTTTTTTATTTAGTTTCACATTTATGTAATCGACATTGAGTGGTCTGTGGTGCAATCGCCAGTATTTTTCCATCACGTGTGGTGAAATTTTCCAAATATTTCGATTAGTTATTTCGAACTTTGGCGATTTCCTAACCAATAGTCTTATGACTTTGAAAGCGACCTCCCCTGGTTCTCTGGTGAGATAAATACCTGGAACGGGCTGCTCCCAAGGCCGAAGTTTTGATCAGACATTCCGGGAGAGTTTGCCATGTATGATGCCATATTATATTCTATAGTTTATAGCAGCATATTTCCCCTATTACTTATGATTTAGGAATCATTCTGTGCTTTAAGTTAATTTCCTATAAGCTGTGTTGATCTGTGCCAGATCTGTGTTAATAGTTACCTAGAGTTTTTTTCCTCAACACGTAAGTTTGGTTTTGTTTATTTTGTATAATTATAATATTGTATAATAGAGCTAGACTCATATTTTGAACTTGTACACATGTTAAAAGGTTATACATAGATTAAAAGAGTTATTAGTTCCAAAGGTTCGTCGTGTTTATCCCCTAGACGTTGTTTCGAGTCCACGTTGATTTTTTATGTCTGATACTCTTTTAGTTTTGTTGTCATCTGTGTATAACCATCAAAACGAATCCGGAACGTGCATTTACTCTACCAGAGGTATAGTGAGTGTTCGTAATAGTGTCACCCGTCGCGGCACCTCATGGTGTCATCCCCCACCCTTTTCTTTTTTCTCTTTAAGCTTTGCAGTTGTTCCCCACCCCCCTTTTGGTAAAAGATATAAAGCGTTCACATAATGCAGCTGGGTGTTGCATTGTTGTCTCTATAGTTTGCATGTGAACGTCATGGTGTCACCTCCCCCCCCCACCTCCCCACACTCTTCTGGATTGTCATTATGTACTTAAATACTTTTTAATTATTTATTATAGATATCTTGAATTTTTTTGTCTTGGTGTCACTCTTTAAGTGGTGTCAACCGCACCCCCGCCCACGCCCATGGGTTTTTAAATATTAGTAAAATTTGTAAAGCGATAAAGCAAGCGACGGTCAGAAAGAGATAAAAAAAAAAGTATGTGGGTAGGTGGGAGAAATAGATAGAAAGAGATAGAGACAATCCATTAACGATACAGAAAAATGGAAATTAAAAGGCTTGAAGAGAGTCAGGCTTTTTTTTTAGCCAGGCTTGTAAGTTGAGTCAAACATGATAATTTATTCACGATTGTATACTATTCAACAACAGTGTTACCTTGAAACAAGCATTTGGAATATTTATCATAATCGTTTCGTTAGGAATTTCATGATTAATGTCTTTGTTAATTCGATTACAAACCTAAATTTATAACAATGATTTTTTTAACAAACGAAAATGAAACTTTAATAGAATCAAAAGTTTAATGATCCTGGTTAATACCAGTTATTTTCATTTTAAATTCAAGATAATATGCAAATCTAAAGTATATAATAGTGAACGTGATTTATCGCTAAATTAAAAAATATAATATAACACCAGTACAGTTGCATTTATTTTTTCATTGTTAACTTCTTGTCTAAAAGCATTAGATGCATTGTGTCCAGGTAACATTTAGATCCATGGTGTCCAGTTAACATTTAGATCCATGGTGTCCAGTTAGACACATTTGGATCTGTCATAATTTGTCTTGGAGTAATCAAATGGACTAGCCGCTGCACAGTTTGCAAAATCCACGTCACACTTGCAAAGCCCTTCTTTGCAAGTGTCGCACGAGCAGTCTGGAAAAAAGATTATAGGCATTCAACTTTAAACGTTAAACGTTAAACGTTAGACGTTACACGTTAAACGTTAGACGTTAGACGTTAGACGTTAGACGTTAAACGTTAGACGTTACACGTTACACGTTACACGTTACACGTTACACGTTACACGTTACACGTTACACGTTACACCTTACACCTTACACCTTACACCTTACACCTTACACCTTACACCTTACACCTTACACCTTACACCTTACACCTTACACCTTACACCTTACACCTTACACCTTACACCTTACACCTTACACATTACACATTACACATTACACATTACACATTACACATTACACATTACACATTACACATTACACATTACACATTACACATTACACATTACACATTACACATTACACATTACACATTACACATTACACATTACACATTACACATTACACATTACACATTACACATTACACATTACACATTACACATTACACATTACACATTACACATTACACATTACACATTACACATTAGACGTTATTTACAATAGTCGGAATATCGTAAACTTTTTATTTCAAAAAATATTTTGAACTTAATTTAAGGCCACTACATATAACTAGGCAAACTAAGTAAACAAAGCTATTTAACTTTTTCGTACTTTGCCGGAAAACGACGCGCATTTTGTTTAAATCACAAGTATCAGTAGTATTTTGTTACAGGTCAATGTTTGTTCCAAATTATGTTTATTAACAACTACATTTAACTTTATTATTTCCATGCAGTCGCAACACGAAGGGAGAAAAGTTATGAGGAAATAACACAACATAGTCCTAATTGAGTACCTGAAGTTACGGATATGATTTATGTAGTAGCACACTAAATCTAAAATCTTGGTAGAAAAGAAACCCACCTTACTAGAAATGATCGTTTAAACGTCATTTTAGAGCAAAACTAAAATTATGCTAACAGCCTAATATCAGTAACTCTTTCTTTTGTAATTTTATGTTAAATTAAATCAAGTGCTTACACTATTATAAGAAAATTACGCGTACTTTATTTTAATAACGGAAATTTTACTTCATGGCCGTAGTTTTTTTATTTTTTTTTATTTCTCTTTTATCCACAACAAACTACATTGGCTTACATATACACAATCAGTTAATTATTTTAAAAATCTTAAGTAATTTTTAGAAAGAAACACAATATCCAGATGTATGTTAGGAAAAAGTAATCACAAACCGCATTTAACGCTGTTTTTTCCAGTGTATGTATAGGTGTAGGTCGTAAAGTAAGGGTCGCAATTAGCTGCAACCATTTTTCTTAGGCACATTCTGCGAGCTTGGCAGCAGCTGAATGAACAAATAAAAATCGACCTTGTTTACATTTCATTTTGTGCTTTTCCAACATCTAGCTCTTAGTTACTAGAGAAATGGAAATAGAATCTGTTTCACAATGATAAGTTACTAGAGAAATGAAAATAGAATATGTTTAACAATAATAGGTAACTAGAGAAATGGAAATAGAATCTGTTTCAGAAGCAATTTAAAAAAAACCATGGTGTTAGATGGGTCATGTATTATGGTTGAGATCAGAGAAAATAACAGAAGTGTCGCTCATTTAGACTCCCCGAGGAAAAAAGACAGGGTTAGCCAAGGTAGATGTGGAGACGCAAGGAAAAGGAATCGGGGATAGTCTGAAAATAAACTTTTCTGTCGCTTAATGTAGGAAAATATCAGGTGATGACTATCTACAAAATAAAAAATTATTTTTTAAAAAATTTGTAATAAGCACATGGAAGATAATTGTCAAATTTAAATGCATACTTTTTAAAAGAATTAATTTAATTAAAAATTATTTTTTATATATTTTTTTGAAAGCACTTCCTATTATAGATTAACAAAAATAATCATTTTGCAGGAAGAAATCACACAAATGACTAAAACATTGTGTACACTATTTCTGAAAAATGGTACATGATTTATAAATCCAATACACACAAATACACCCACACACTTATATATACCTGTCTGTTGCGTCAACAGGAATTCCACGCCTCCCAACGCCACACCAACAGCCGTAATTTTCGTAAAACGTGTGGCTTCTGCCCGTCACTTTGACCAGTACTTGCTCGTAATTATACGGCGTTCGCTTCACCCGAATTGATACGGAGTCGCCAACAAAGGCGCCTGTCAGAGAGAGTTTCAGAGAAATATAAAACAGCGAGCAGGCTAGAGACAGTGGCGTCGCTAGTTCGGGTGTCGGGCGGCAACATACGGTGTCACACCCCCCCCCCACACACACAATCTTATTTTGTAGGAATCTTCAATTTGTACTGAAAAGACTTTAATTAATAAGCATTTTTAAATATTTTACAAATTGTGTCGTGGTATCACCCATTTAAATGGTGTCACCCGGTGCGATGTGCACCCCTTGCCCCCGCCTCGCGACGCCTCTGGCTAGAGATACTTATGCTATAATATTAAAACAATTTGTGTCTTGGTATCACCCCTTTAAATGGTGTCACCCGGTGCGATGTGCACCCCCTGCCCCCGCCTCGCGACGCCTCTGGCTAGAGATACTTATGCTATAATATTAAAACAAGTTAATTAGAATTTTCTACAAACTAAACACATAACACGTACTTAAACTCGTACATAATTGATAATCACAAACCTAACAAGTGTATCAACAATATGTAATTAAAATGAGTTGAATATTTAAATGTAAGAATTAGATATCAAATGCTTAATTGCTAATGTATTTGTGTGATACAATTCTAGAAAAAAAGCAAGTTAAAGTCATTAAAGATGTACGTATATGTATATGTACTTACAAATCACCAGCACTGCGATGGAGTAATGATTACAGAATAACATATTGAATGTTATAATTATAGCTGCTTTTTCTATCTGGGGTAAATCAATACAAAAGCAACACCATCATTTTGTAAAACAGCGAAAGCAAAGTAATTTATAACATTTATGTGTTTTTTTAATTGAAAGATGCATTACTAATGCTATAGAATAGAAGGTTCATGCTATAGTTTATCTATGCTCCTTTAGGCTGTCTATTAAAATGCTTTATCTCTAATTAAAAAAATGAAATTGTATGATAACGCCTTTGTTGAACGAAACAATTTTAAAAAATCTCTAATGTAAAGCAAAATACATAAATAGTATAAAGATTATCATAGTGATTTGCTATTTGCTCGACAGGAATTTCTCAATTTAAACTCTACACACCGGATCTTTTTAATTTTTTTTTATAAAATATGTTTTAATTACAAGCTTTTATGTAATGCACTAAATGTAGAACATACTATTTAAATACTACTATTTAAATAACTATAAAGAAAAGCGTGGGTCACTTTTGTATATATTGGATACCTTTACTAATATTTAGTGAGTTAAATAAAAGCTTGTAAAAATCAACTTATTTATTGATGTTGTTAGCAATAACAATAAATGTTTAAGCAATTCTTGCAACCATTCATCTTTGGAAAACACTGGTTCCCTGATCTTCTCATTGTGTGAATTTTACTTCGACAATATCACATACCATAACAATTAACTTCACTTAATGCGACTCAATAAATAAATTTCTGTACAAAAACATGAGCCCTAAATTGTTGTCTGAAAGATAATGTGCTATTTATTTAATTAGTGACACGTATATATATATATATATATATATATATATATATATATATATATATATATATATATATATATATATATATATATATATATATATGTTAAATATTACTTGCCCTAATGCTATTAAAAAAATTGAATTCAAACATTAAGATACCTACAGTAATGTGAAGAGAATTTGTAGGGCAAATACTATATTAAATAACAGCTAGTTTAAAACGTACATCCCTTTTATAGGCTCAGATATAATTAAATTTCAGAGGAAGTCTTAGTAACGCTTCTGTTGCTTTTGTAGACACTCATGAATAAATAAAATCAAAAGACGTGACTGAGTGCATCTTTTTGGAGCTAGGTGTAACCCTATTGGGCGTAGGCCTACTGCAACACAATTTGCGCCCCCACCCCCCTTGCCCACCTAATAGAAAGTGGAAACACTATCCATGCGTCTGGTAAACATCCTGTCGTCTGGCACACCTAACCCAGCCATCAGTCACACCTGACCCAGGCGTCTTATAAACACGATCTAGACCGTGGGAAATTCTTGATTTGACGATTGGGATAAAATTTTAAAAAAAAAACGTTCGCGCTGTACAAAATAATATCTTTTATAAATTTTCTATTATGTCATCGTCTCTGATCGAGTTTCATCTACGTTTGAAGCTATTTTCAGTTTAGTGAATGATTTAGGTTCGTCTTTTAAACTGTAAATTATGTTGTTTTCTTTCAGTCTTTGAATAGCGGGATTGAGATTCTGGCTTGTTGTAAGTTCATTTGAATTTTGTCCAGAGAAGCCCCGCCATTTGTGCAAGAGAAAAAAAATGAACGGTCGAAACGTTAAACCCCGCCACTTTTTGTTAGCTCCAACTAAATGAACGCACGCAACCTTGACCTAATTTCATGTCAATACACTTGAATATTTAAAAATACGGTATTCGCCTTATAAAAAAAACTACTTGTCCGCTTCGAGAGCTAGAGTTAGGGTAAGGGTTGGTTAGGTTTAAAACTACAAGTTCCATATCATCTTTTTATAATCTCTTTCGGTCCGGCGGGATTTACATATTGGCGGAGTTTACCTCAATATATGAACAAGATTTGTTTATTTAAAAAAAAATTACATCGTTTATTAAACCAAATTGCCAATATGATTTTACTCTTAATGTGGGCTAGTCGATGTGGTCGAATAGGAGAGCGTTCGGCTCAGTGGCGGAACTAGAAAAAAATGGCCCCCCCGCAAAAAATTTTTTTAGGCCCCTATATATATATTATATGCATCTATATGTATATATATATATATATATATATATATATATATATATATATATATATATATATCTATATATATATATATATATATATATATATATATATATATATATATATATATCGGGTGCAGTGGCGTAGCGAGGTCGGGTGTCACCCGGTGCGGCACTTAATGGTGTCACCCCCCAGAGCCATAGAGACCCTTCCCAGAGACAAACTTTCAAATTTTCGATTTGCACCCTCCCCCCCCCTCAAGTTTTCGATTTGCACCCCCCCCCCCCGCTCAAGTTTTCGATTTGCACCCCCCCCCCCCTCAAAATTTCGATTTGCACCCACCCCCCCTCGAGTTTTTCTCTATATATTTTGCTATTTTTTGCCTTGGTGTCACCCCCCTAAATGGTGTCACCCGGTGCGGTCCGCACCCCCCGCCCCCCCCCCCCCCCCCCCGAAAGAAATTAATTTTATATAATTTATATAGAAAATATATACTTTTAACAGTGCCCGCCCCCCCCCCCTCCGAAAATTTCAAGTGCCCCCCCCCCCCGAAGAAAAAAGTCTGGAAGAAACACTGCCAAAGACCCACCCATATTATAACCGAATATAACCCCTCCCTGTTACGGGCTAAACATGAAATTAAACATTAATACATTCAAAGGTGATATAGATCTTTTGGTTGTTTTTAGGCTTAACAGCTAGATCAAGGTATCCTAAATTTGATTAACTTTAATGTATTTAGTGTTAATAACTAATGTTCAATTAATACGTGTACTAATTATAAATTAATTAATAATATAAAGACGAGCCTTACCTTCCTTGTTGTGTGAATTAGACTCGTCAACAAAATACTTCATCGGGTAAATGAACAACTACTGACTAGTGTCTTTAACAAAATGTGCAGAAGTGGTCAGTTTACAGTTCAGTAGTTCATAGACGGTTCGTTAATCTATGCATTACATCTTATTGTAAGAGTAAGGGTGTGGTGAGGGGTAGAGGTGAGGGGTAGGGGTGAGAGGGGGGTGAGGGGGGTGAGAGTTGGGAAGGTTCAAGGGAAGGGGACTAGAAAGTGCCGATAAACATCTACATCAATAGTGCCGACTTTTTCCGGTCGTCTAGAAGACCAGAATAGTCGCCGCAACATTTCCCCAGCCCGATTTCAAAGCGTGCCGGCAAAAACTTCAGATGCTTCGCTAAAGGGAGATAACTTAAACTTTCACAAGTTTATTGATACAGTTGTTAAAGTAAAAATGAACGCAATTATAAAAGTATGACATCGAAATAAATAATTATATTTTTTGTAGAGTCCAGGCCAGTAGTTTAAACACACAATCATATATATATATATATATATATATATATATATATATATATATATATATATATATATATATATATATATATATATATATATATATTATTTATTTATTTAATAATTTAAACAATATAACAATCCTTTTTTGTTCTCCTAATCGACGCCACTAAAAAGAACGGTAGGCTACGTCTTTGAAGTTGTCTATATGTCTGGCGGTCTCTCGAGCTATAGTCTGTGCATTTTTCTCAAAGACGTTTGCCGACTATCGTGTTTTTTTGTAACTGTAGAAGAAAGATAACTCAACCTCCACCTAAATTTAAAAAAAAAAAATTAATTTAATTTTTTTTTTTTTTACATTTTATTTAAAATAATTTAGCCAGGATTTTTGGGCCCCCAATCGGTCTGCCCCCCCCCCCCCCCGCATTGCGGTGTCTGGCGGCACTGTTGTTCCGCCCCTGCGTCTTTCAAGTTGTCTTTATGTCTGGCTGTCTCTCGAGCTATATTCTGTACATTTTTTTCAAAGACGTTTGCCGACTATCGTGTTTTTTTTGTAACTGTAGAAGAAAGATAACTCGACCTCCACCTAATTTTTAAAAAAAAAATTAATTTTTTTTTTGTTTTAATTTTTTTTTTACATTTTTTTTTTAAAATAATTTAGCCAGGATTTTTGGGCCCCCAATCGGTCTGCCCCCCTCCCCCGCATTGCGGTGTCTGGCGGCACTGTAGTTCCGCCCCTGCGTCTTTGAAGTTGTCTATATGTCTGGCGGTCTCTCGAGCTATAGTCTGTACATTTTTTTCAAAGACGTTTGCCGACTATCGTGTTTTTTTTTGTAACTGTAGAAGAAAGATAACTCGACCTCCACCTATTTTTTTTTTTTTTTTTTTTTAAATTTTTTATTTTAAATTTTTTTTTTAAATAATTTAGCCGGGATTTTTGGGCCCCCATTCGGTCTGGGCCCCCCCCGCATTGCGGGGTCTGGCGGCACTGTAGTTCCGCCCCTGGTTCGGCTACAAGCCCGCACGCTACGAGTTCGGATCTAGGTCCGTATTAGGGACTGTAGAGCGACTGTTTGAGTCAACCCACTCTTGAAGGGCACCGGACTCACACTGGGGATAGTAAAAGCGGCTGGGCATAGTGCTGACCACACCATCTTTTCATAATTACGCTGAGATCAAGAAACATGCGAACATTTCTTCTGCACTATGGATCTTAAGGTCTGAAAGGATAACTTTACTTTTAGGCTAGACTTATAATATTTGTTTTTTATGACAACAGCAGTTTACGCTCTCATCCTACCATAGCTGTTACATAAACGTATCTTTTTCTCCATTACTAATTGATATTACATATATGACCACATTCAAAACAAGCTGCGGGAAATAAAATCTAATGTTTTCATTGGTTTTTCGATATTGGAAAACGTAGAGCTATATGTGTTGTAGGATTTTTTATAGTCATGATTCCATTGGCTATATATGTACAGGTCAGGCTTGTAGAATCAAGATCGACACATTCCTAGCTGTGAATAATATTTTAAGGGAATATTGTGTTAAGTAAAATGAGCACTAGGAAGATTACTGGTGCATAATTATTACAAATAAAGAAACAAGGTAAAAGAGATAAGTATGTTATATTAGCTTGAAAATCTTATAATTTGGCAAACTCAAAGAAAAATGGTGGGCGTGGTTCGTTAAGGTATAGAAAGACGCAAAAATATCTATGCTTGCTAAAATTGATTTGGTGTATCATGTTTTTAAGGCTCATTTCACAGTAGTAACTATCTAATCTTAAGTCTTAGTAAATAAATAAATTACATAAAGGAAATAATTTGCAGAGAATGAATATCAAAAGAACGTGTGATATACTTATTGATATATTTCACGTTACCCAGTCGTCTGCCGCATACATTCAAAATGCTTACAGCAACAGCTATTGGATTTCGAGAGATTTGAAGGATACATACAAAAATGGAAACCTACAGAAATAGGTAACTGTAGCGAAATACAATGACAATAATAAGCGCTGCAAAAACAACAGTACAAATAGATAGAGGTAGCAATAGATATCTAAAGAAAGACAAATATGAGAAATAGACAATTGTAAACATGTACACGTACACGTACACAGTACACAGTACACAGTACACGTACACGTACACTTTTCCTTCAAATTCAATTGAGCCAATTGTGTCGAGCCTAGGCGAAATACAGTAACAAAGGGCCCCACTGTCTCCGTGCAAGTCAGTCCCATTGAAGTTGTGCAAAGACCTTTCGAACGTGGTCTCAAACCCACCTCTACGTTTACACTTGTTGAATTCATGGGCCTTTGGCTCTGTTTTTAATGACGAACAATAATTTTGCATTGAAAATTTGATTTATAAAGATTTTTTGTTACTAGCCAAATTGACCCCCCCCCCCCCCCCCACCGTCATGGTCAAAGAAATAACAAACGCCATAGAAGTCGTAGAAAGAGAGCCGTGTGGGTTATAATAAACGACAGTGTAGGTTAGTGACGGTGAAACAATATTCAAAACTTAATGGCATAACAATCATGGAAAAGATTTACGAGAATGATTAAAATAAATTACTTTAAAAAAATTGTTAAATAAGAATAAGTGCAAAATTTTAGGCCCTTTACTAGGCTCAGCCCCTCTCCCACCCTACACAACACCCTACACAACACCCCATAATCCCCCCCCCCCTCTAAATTTCGAAATCCGGCCGCTGTTGGTATACCAATGTATGAACGTGTTATTGAACTCTATACAACTATTCGTTGCAGAGCAATACGTCCCCCGAAGTAATTTGAAGGTTTGCCAATCTTATTTTCTCTGGTTTTTTAGTGGTATTTTAATATATTTATGCGGACAGCGTGGATTAGCAATTAATGAGTAACGATACATCAATGAAAGTTATAGTATATTTTTATGAAACCACAATCAAGGCAAATGTACACAAAAATAACATTTTTAAAATAATTGTTTTTTCCTAATCGACTGCGAGCTACCTAAACGACCTGCCCCCCCCCCCCCTTCACATTATCTCCTTGTCCACATTGATTTCAATGATCGGCCATTCTTATAAAAATAACCAAATAAAAGCGTTGTTTGGTCATGTTAAAATATTTTTTTTTTAATTTGAAACGGCTAGTGAGACAACTCTTAAAGCAAATGACAAGGTTTAAACTTTTAATCATCCGTGTACATTATATTCATTACAACCATAAACTATTTGACAAAACACAACGAATAATATATATATATATATATATATATATATATATATATATATATATATATATATATATATATATATAGTCAACAGTATTTATTAGGTACAAATGAAACTTTTAATAAAATGATTTTCTAACAAAAATGACACTGTTAACACTAGCTAGTATTATTGTGTATTGTTAGTGTACTGAAGAAGGCAACTATAACATTAATAGCCCACAAAACAAAACGCATTCAATAACTATACTTAGACAACATAGAGCGGGACACTAATATAACTACTACATTACAAACTGCGGTACTCTCTTCTGTTGAGATTAAGGTAAAAAAGAGCGTTTTAGTTAAAGTTAATATTGTTTTAAAATTAATTGATAGTAAGGTCTTATATTTTCTTTAATTCTGCACTGGACTTGTAATTACTTTAATAAATGTTTAAATGATTTTTTGTTCCTAAAATCAATGAAAACGTAAATCAATTTGTGATAGTTTGCCTCATTGTATTTCTCTCTTACTCAGTATCTCACACCAAAGTGTGAAATCGTTTTGTAACATCTGTGAGTTTTAGTGCACGCGTGTGTGTTTGTGTGCTTGGATACATTTATGTTTGCAGTTATTCTACTAAAGTACTTCAGTTCATTAGCTTTAACAGGCGTTCTTTTATTGAGAAGAAAGAGCGAGGTATTATATTAAAAGGATGCATTTTTGTACCTTCTAAATAACACTTTTGCTGAATTGGGTGCTTGCTTTTGTTTCCTCTACTTCATTCAATTTATAGCTATTTTTAAATTTATTTTTTGACTAAAGTAATTGTAACAGGATTAAATGCTATCAACAGTATTTTTATCACCGGAATTAAGCTTTGCTTTTTGTTGTTGTTTTTTTTGTGCTTTTTTTCAGCTTACCTGGTTCACTCATTTACCCCAAGCAAAAAAAAATCTCGCTATATTTGCAAAAAATTTTATTCTGTCTTACAAAACAAATGTTGTCTTAAAACAGTAAACTAAAATCTTTCAATTTTACACCTCCATAAAAATATTGTGTATTTGAACTAGGCTAATGTGTTCTAGTTAACTTAGTAAGAGGGAATCCATTAATGATTATTACCATTTTTCGTGTGTACATTTTCTTCCTTCTCCCCCTTAAATTACATAGTCAAACAATGTCAGGCACACATACAAATGAACTCACCATTCAAACTAACCAGACTCTAAAAGAAAATCAGACCTTACTGCCCTAATTCAGTGGCGCCGCACGCATTGAACCATTCCTCTCAGAGTTTCTTCCAGGCATCTCTTCGGGGGGGCTCAGCCCCCCCCCCCCCCCGAAAAAAATTTACCGCCCCCCCCCCCCCCCGAACGAAATGAAATTTATATAATTTATATAGAAAATATATACTTTTAACAGTGTCCGCCCCCCCCCCCCCGAAGAAAGTCTACCGCCCCCCCCCCCGGAAATTTCAAGTGCCCACCCCCCCGGAGAAAAAAAGTCTGGAAGAAACACTGATACCTCTTGTAACACATCGTTACTGAAGTCTAACGCCCTCCCACTACCTCAGCTTCAACCCCAACCCCACCCTCACCTCTGCCATCTATTAGTGTGACGAAGTTTTTGTTGTCCTCGTATTTGTATTTATTCAAACTAAAATTCCCTCACGTGAATAAATAGTGGACATCTTGTTCAAAACATCAAACAAACAGCGGACAAAGTGATCAACAAATTTCAGGATAGCTAGAAAACATTATCAAAACACAATACAAACTGTAGGAAACTTGTTCAAAACATCTACAAAAAAAATAGCACGAAAACAGAAACACGAACAGATTGAATCCTTGATTTGAAATTTGATACTCGCGCGCTAATATCCATGCGTGAACTTCATGTTCAGTTAATTGTTTTTCTCAGCTGCCATGATATATAAACGGCTTTTTCCTTCACTGTTCACTACTCCTATTTTATCAAGCTAATTACGTAGCTTTTGAGTTGTATTGTGTATTCATAATAGTTTACTCGTCTAGCTAAAATTGTAGTATTAGAAAATATAGTTGAATTAGGTTTTGCTTATCATTAATATTTAACATTTTGTGCAAAGGTTTAAAAAAATGATTTTAAGTTTACTAACCCGATTTTGGTATCATTTTCTTAACAATGCCCGATTATTCAAATTTTAAAAAGTTATCACATAACTGATACGTATTTGTTTTTCTTAGAGATAGTAACATTTTAATGGGATTTCATGAACGGTATCATAACAGTTCTATTTTGTAACATTTGTAAATCATGTTACTGTTTAAAAATAAATAGTAATTTTAATTACCATTTTTATAGATGGTACTCTTATGTGTATTTGATTTTAAAAATATAATTGTTTTGACTTACAGCAAGTAGGATAATAAACAAAACATATTTACGATGACAATCTTCAACCATTACTTTATTGCAGTGCTGGTGCTCTGTAAGTATATATATATATATATATATATATATATATATATATATATATATATATATATATATATATATATCTATATATATATATATATATATATATATATATATATAATGTGTGTTTATTATGAATTTAAAATGCGTTAACAATCGATACATCAATTAAATATAAATCAAATATGACGTCTTTGCCTTCGAATTAGTACATTGACAATTTTTAATAGTACACATACAGTCTAATAAGCATTGTTGATAAACATGTTAGGTACACGTATGTTTTATATTATGTAGCCAACTTTGCTTAGGTTCATAGTTATCGTTATGAAAATCAGCGCCTGTTACCTGCAAATTGTTATCATTGGATCGATCACTTTCTTGTGTTACATTTTACTAAAAAATCTCGCTTGCAGGCGCATGTGTTTGTGAATCTGATTCTTCTCTGGACAAAAGAAATGTGTATCAGTTACAACAGATTCTCTCCAAAGTCACCGGCAGAGGCGCTTATTTTGACTACGATGGTTATGGGTGCTGGTGTGGTCGAGGGGGCTCTGGAACTCCTGTTGACGCAACAGACAGGTATATATATATATATATGTATATATATATATATATATATATATATATATATATATATATATATATATATATATATATATATATATATATATATATATATATATACATATTTCATATCATGTGATAAAATATTTTGAAGTTTAATTTGAAATCTAAAAATGTAATACTCATCACTGTAGTAAACTAATAGCTAACGTCATGTTTCAATGTGTTAACCACTGAAGCATGCTTATTATTTATTGAACTGAATAGCCATCTCAATATTTGGCCATTAATATCAATATTAATTATAAAAGACAACTAAGCATGTCGTTTAACATGTTTGTTCAAATAATTATATCTCAATAATCATTCTACAGATTTCTATAATATTTTCAGGCATTATGGGGAATCATACTAGCTTTTGATTTATGTAAAGAACGAACAAAAATTGATTTTTTTCGAGATAATTCATAAATTCATATACATAAAAATACACACACACCCATATATATATATATATATATATATATATATATATATATATATATATATATATATATATATATAGAGAGAGAGAGAGAGAGAGAGAGAGAGAGAGAGAGAAAGAGAGAGAGAGATACGTGTATTCTTGTGTGTAGCCTTTAAAATCGTATATTGAATAATACTGATTATACTGAATAATCAGTATCAATAGAATTATTTTAAATTGTATACCTTTACTGACGATTAGCCTATTCAGTGATTAGAAACAATAATTTTATATCAATAATAACAATTTTTGCTTTCTTTAATATAATTTTCGGTCAACAAATGTTCAAGGGATTTCAGCTAAGTCGTTTTGTTTGTACTGATTTTTTAAATTGTTTTTTTTTATTGTTTAATTTTTTTTTCAATGCATTTAAAAGTTTATTATTACAATGTTTATATGTTTGTTTTATTCTTCACATTTTAGTAATTTGTTCTAAATGAAGTTGACACAACATAGGCTACGATTAAAATATTTGCCCGATCAGTAGCTTGAAATATCTAAAAGACAATAATGTGTCTGCTTCGATTTAGTCCATTTTGGACGATCAGGCCAAAGTAATCCAGCCGTGAAGAAAGGCCACTATCGTACAATAGCATTTAGTCTTTTTATCTCCCCTTTTAATATTGAATTTAGTAGTTTTTATTTACATTTTTAATTACTAATTGAATGTCAAATTGATTTCAAAATAGACATCCTTGCATTTTCATCAAAGATAAATGTATCTGGAAATTTTGAACGAAATCGCTATATTAGAACTGGGTCAACATGGAGTTACAAGATTCGCCACAAACCCATACACAAACAGACGATACGAACACATTAAAAGCTTGTAAATGAAAACGAATGTTTCCGTTTTTCATACAGGTGTTGTCAGGCACACGACCAGTGCTACGACCGAATGATAGCGGCTGGCTGCGACCCGTATCTGGATATCTACGATTACTCACCCAATGGGAGCAGCTTTACATGTGGTTTGTGATTACTAGTTAAAACATCTGATCTATATGTTAATGTTTTAAAGATTTGTTTAAGCAATGCATATTTGGGGTAGTCTGCGCCAATGTAGTCTGTTTTTGTGGTTAAGAGAACTTTAAAGTTTATAATTTTTTTAAGCTCTATGATAATTTTCGTTAGAAAAATGAGTTTTATTATATAGTTAGTTCACGTTTAAATCTTACATAAAAATTACAACAGAAATGGATTATATGGAAGCATTCAGAGGCGTAGCGAGGAGGGGGCGCGAGGCATATGTCCCCCCCGGGCGCCGACCTTAGGGGGCGCCAAAATGGGTTGGATAAAGAAATTTGAGGGGGGTGCATATTGAAAGTTTGAGGAAAGGGTGGGTGCAAATCGAAAGTTAGAGGGGGGAGTGCAAATCGAAAGTTTGAAGGGGGGTTGCAAATCAAAAGTTTTAGGGGGGGTGCAAATCGAAAGTTTGTCCCCGGGCGCCGGGGAGGGTCGCTACGCCTCTGGAAGCACTGATCAGAGATTAAAATATGTTTATTTTGACTTACACAATGTTAAAATGATAAGTTATAGTATTATTTAATTCAGAGGCGTAGCGACCCCTCCCGGCACCCGGGGACAAACTTTCAATTTGGGGTAGAGCGCTAGACTACTAACCTCGAGTTCGAATCCGTGCTCAAGTCAGTAGAACGTTCCAGAGTCCAAGAAAAGTAAAGCTGGCTGGGCATAGTACTGACAAGAGGCGTAGCGTGGGGGTGAGCGGGGGGGTGCGGACCGCACCGGGTGACACCATTTAGGGGGGTGACACCAAGGCAAAAAAATAGCAAAATATATAGAGAAAAATGATAATTCCACTTAATTAAGTGATTAATTCGAATGTTAAATAGTCTTTTAAGAGGTGCAAATCAAAGGTTTGAGAGCGGGGGGTGCAAATCGAAAATTCAAAGTTTGTCCCCCGGAAGGGTCGCTAAATCTCTGGGGGGGGGGGGGGTGTGACACCATTAAGTGCCGCACCGGGTGACACCCGACCTCGCTACGCCACTAGTACTGACCACACTTTCCCAGCATATACCGAGGTCAAATGGACCGTCACGTTCGAGAGTACTGATGTCTTTGCCTATGCCTAATGTCTATGAACATTTTCCCAGACTCGTCAAACGACGCGTGCGAACTTGGAATTTGCCAGTGTGACGTGGACCTGGCCAACTGCGCTGCGGCTAGTGCGTTTGACTACTCCAAGAAAAACTACGACAGATCCAAGTGTTAACTTGATATTCCGGTTCTATAACTTTTTGATATGAAGTTAAACCAATAAAAATATGTGCTGTTGTATTGGTGTTAATTGGGTTTTTATTATTTAACACAAAATCATATTTTTAATGTTTTTTTATTTATTAAAAAAACTTTTATAAAGCATTTTTAAAGATTTTTCTTACTTTAGATTATATGGACTGAAATGTGTGGAATTTGAGCAAATTTCAACTTTTTTTTAACAGTCCATGATTTATAAATTAAAAATAATTTTTTAAAACCCTTTTCTTAAAAAGTACTTATAGAATGTTTCAGGCTACCATTACTGTGCAAAATGCTTGCATTTCTGTGTGTTAACCTGTCCTCTAGTGGTTGCTGAGCCTTAGCATTTTGAAAAATGATAAACAAAAATCCATATGGCAGACGTAACCATGGCAACCAAAAATATTTCTCTTTTTGAAAACCATTTTTAAAAATTTCATTGAGCATAAATTATATGGATAAAGTTTAATTGGATTAGTTTCACTAATAACAAAAAAAAGTGTAGCTCACAGCCTTAACTCCTGAAATTTAAAACGAAGATTTTGGTATCAAAAAGAAATATTATGGGGTTCGGGGTCGATATAATATATAAATATCTTTGTGTTATATAAAATGTCCACTATTTTTTTGTCTTTATGGAAGAAAAAAATTTCGCCAGTCTTCAGAGACCAAAGTTAGTGCCTGATACTCAAGTCCCTTACCCATGCTACAATAACGGGGGAAATAAGTCTCTGAGAATAGGGACTGGATGTGTGTGTGGTGTAGAAACGTTTACAGAGAAATGTGATCCGTACATACATAAACTGTCCATGTCCAGAGTGTGACCACTCGGACACAACAGGTAGAACTTGGTGGAAAGTAGACGTTCTGACGGCCAAACATGTGGTCTTTGATTTGATCGAGGCAAAACAGTCTACCTGTAGATTATGGTATGATGATGATAAAAGTCCAGTGGTCAACATTTATGGTTGGGAGGTTACTACTTCGACAACTGAGAATGACTGGTGTGAAGTGTGGTGTGTGACACACGACTTAGAGATAGGTGACAAACTAGAGAAGATGAACAGTCGTTTTAATAATCTATGTAGGACGGTCAGAGACCACTACGAGAGTCGTAGAGACCATTATAGTATCACATCCTCACGGCTGTTCTAAGCAGGTGTCTATAGGTCACTGGGTACACAGACAGAAGGTAGGGTACACAAGCAGCTACACGTACACATCTTGTACCTGTCAAGGTAGCCGTGGGGCTGCCCAGGTAGCAGTGTTTCTTCCAGACTTTTTTCTTCGGGGGGGGGGGGGGGGGGGTCACCTGAAATTTTCAGGGGGGGGGGGGGGGCGGTAGACTTTCTTCGGGGGGGGGGGGGGGGGCGGACACTGTTAAAAGTATATATTTTCTATATAAATTATATAAATTTCATTTCGTTCGGGGAGCGGTAGAATTTTTTCGGGAGGGGGGGGGGGGGGCGAAGAGATGCCTGGAAGAAACTCTGCCAGGTAGCAGTGGGGCTTGGGTCTACTGTCTGGGTCGTTTATTTCCGGCACATCCCCACAGTGGAGCTTATGCTAACGGATTAAATTACAGCGGGGTGGAGTCGAAATAACATGGCCAGTTATCTGCACTTGTCTAGTATAAATATTCCACTTTAGACCAAGCAATCCAATGGACATATGAATTAGAGCTCATATGTTTATTGACCTCGGCCTAAGATAGAATAATGTGGTCAGCACTTTTCCTAACGTAGGTTAGGTACTTATTAGAGCTGGGTGGACTCAGGGACGTTCCCTTCACTTCATTAAACTCGGATTCAAACTCGAGACTTTAAACTCATTCATGAACGGCGTTACCTATAAGGCGAACTAGGCGGTCGCCTACGGCGCCATCCCTATGCGAGTAGTCGAGTTTATCGTAAGTTAGATGATTTCAATTCAGTACGGAACACACTACAAAGAAAGGTATGCGTTCTCTAGTTAAAAAATCTTTAGTTTTTTAGGAATCTATACAGTGGCGGAACTAGAAAAAAAAGGCTCCCCCGCAAAAAAATTTTTTTGGGCCCCCCCCCTATATATATATATATATATATATATATATATATATATATACATACATACATATATATAAGTAGCCCGCTTCTCAAAATTTTAAATAGTCTATTACCTGAGTATTTTAATCTATTTTATTGCAATGTATAACCACTCTGAGATACGAATCAGACAATAATTAGTCCGAACTCATTTCGGGCCCGCATCGTGTTTTACAAATATTTTTTTTTTTTTTTTTTTTTTTTTTATATACTTTTATTTGCAATTAAAACAAGTACATCAATATCAAATTTTTTAACATAATTTTGAACACCAAATGAAAACGACAGGTTTTGCAAATGCACATAATGAATATTTACATGATGTCATGTATTTGATTATAAAAAATTGCAAAGGATGACAGTAAAAGGGGTGAAGGTCAATATTTGTATTACGTCTTTATGTTTGCCAAAAATTGTGACACAAATGATGGCTGGTCAAAATTATATAAACACTTAAGCTTGATTTTGAAATGGTTTCTCGCGTTATGTTTATTTTTATGATTTTTTGTATTTATATTGTTTGTTTTGAATACATTCATTTTTATAGCTATAGGATTCTTTAATATGCCTTATTTTAATAATAATTAAGAGAATAAATGACTCTTTAATTTACATAGTACAAAACTATTTTAAATGAGCTTTATGGGCACCCGTGTTTTGATGAAGGGCAGTAAGTCATGGAAGTATTGGTAACCTTTGCCTATCTTTCAAACTACAGCTCTTGTAGATTTTATATTTTTCTACGCAACAGTGTGTGTTAGTTACTGTAGAACAATCACTGCTAAAGTAGACCTGTTTTGTTTTTTACAAAAACACTATCAAGGTGCACGGAAAACATTATTTATGAAAATAAAATTTATTGTTTTTTGGTCGGAATTGGGCCCCTAAACGTCGTGGGCCACCCCGCATTGCGGGGTCTGGCGGCATTGTAGTTCCGCCCCTGAATCTATATTACCAGTCTTAAAGTACTAATATATAATATTAAATAGGATGGAATTTATAACTAACCGTAAATTTTGTTTTGTCAAATTATTATTTTTCTAATATTTAATCAATAATTCTAGCAATGTCTAAAACAGTTACCCGTATTTGACTTTCAAAGAGACGTCCCTTTATTTAGGGGATCCAAAAATTACTATAACTACATTAATACTGACATACACTTTAATAATGTCATCAAAATTTAATAGAAGTATGTTATAATAAAGCTACCGTTTTTGGACTTTCAAACAAAACCTACAGTTAAGTATTCAATAGGTAAAACATTGTTTTTCACAAGATTACCTAGCTTATATAAAAGATGTGTTATAATTATTAAGTAAAATATTTAGAGCGTTTTGTTGTTTTTTTTTCAAACAAGTCTTAGTTACACTTAATTAATTTAGCTATTCTTGTGAAAGTTATTTCCCTTGAATAAAATTTTGTTTTTTGGATTTTCAAATGGGAGATAATTCGTTGCTTAACTTTACATTCCTTTCAAATTTCTTCACCTTAGGTTGACCGCTTACATATAAATACAACTTTAAGTTATTATTTGCAATTGTAAAAATTATATAGAGCTTAAGTTCTAAACAAGATGGTTTGGTAGGTATTTTTAGCATTATCAAGTTGAAAAACAAATACATCAGTAGCCGTTGTAGATTGTAATACTTAATGTTAGTAGACATACAGTCTTAGTCGTAAATTAAACATTTAATTAATTGTCTTTTCATATTTTTCACCCTCTCCTAAAGGATTCATATATAACAATTGTAGGCTGAAATCTATAACATTTATAACCTTCATTTTTTAAAAACAAAAAAAAAAATCGTTACATAATCACACAATAAAGATATTTTACAATTTTACCTAAAGACAGTCAAGCTTAAAACAGGTAGGTTCCGTTTTGGAACTCACCTTGGGAGGACTGCAGAGAATCCAACACTTCAAGAACTTTTTTTCAGTGTTTTTTTTCCAGACTTTTTTCTCCCGGGAGGGGGGGGGGCACTTTTCTAAGGGGGGGGGGGGGCTATGTCCTAAAGTATAAAGTAGACTTCGTGGACAACAATTTCAATAAAATATAATTACGTTTGTAAACTGGAATTGAAGAAATTAGTACAAACTTTTGCAACGAAGGAGGCAAGTAAAATTTGATTTTGGTGTCTACGTATAACATGCATGCAATTGATAATTTAAATTAATATGTCACTTTTAATTAATTGTTATCTTATAGATAAGTTTTAGTAATTAATTTGTGTGAAGGGGGCATTTTAATAAGTTTTGCCTAGGGCGCTAAATAACCTGGCGCCGCCACTGCTTTCATGTTAGCAGTCTAGCGCTCTACCGCTAGGATACGCAGTCCCATACTGGTCTTGTGTGTAAACACGTAAATATAAATGACGTCTATTGTGTAGTTGTTATCACTATCTCAAATATCTCACTACATTACATGTAGTTTGGTTTACAGCTGTAGTAGTTGAAAAATTTCAGGAATGGGTTTGTCTTTTTGGTAAATATCTACGTTGTTGATATGTAGACGTGCTTAGCAGCTGTCGTCTCGGCATCACGTGTTGCTTTTAACTCCGCCCTTTTCTCCACCATCACACGTCACAAAAAGCTAACCTTTCATCCATAAAAAGACGTCGCAACTTAGCCTACAACCCCCCCCCCCCCCTCCACCCTCTCTCAAAATTGTAGTTTAATGTAGTTTAATATGTTTTTAATTTTTGTTCTTTCTACAACGCAAAATAACGGCTAAAATTCAGCTTCTAACATTACTTTTTTTTAAATTCAAGCGTGACGTCACACTATCTGAGCCTCCCCCTCCCCCTATTACACCGTCACAAAAGTAAGCTCCTCCCCCCCCCCCCCCCCCCCCCCACACGAGTGTCACGTTATTTATGGACTCCCC